ATCTAGCAACCAAATGCCTTAAAGAAAATTCACATCAGGTTAAACTTTCCTGCAACTAGACAAACCAACAAAATGATCAAAATAAACGACAGACTAAAACCTCCTACCATAGCCGTACCAGTCCATCTGAACACTGGAGATTTTTATTAGTTAGTAAATATCATATTAACTGGTTAATGTCATATGGTTTGCTGTCAGACTCTGTAGTTTGTCTGGCAGCCATTTTTTTACCCAATTGGTCTTTGTGAAACCAGATGTGAACACAACTAAGAGTGAAGCCTGCTGCTAAACCAATTGGTCGCAGTTCATTACTGATATCTGGCACCAACATCAATAGACTGGATAGACTAGTATCAGAATACAATTATATTTTTCACCAAATGTTAATAAAAGTTTATATCCCCTGGCTTAAAATAAAGAAAAATGTTTACCGTGTCCTTATTCATCACTGGTTGTGTGAAATAAACGGTCATTGTCTGGTATAAAATATATGCTACATGGAGCATCTTTTCGAAGTTTTTATCTACACTTAACTTCCATCAATCAGAATCCATCAGAAGTTCTGAATCTGATAAAACCAAATCATAATGGAGTAATGGTAATTCAGAAACTGCTGAATGAATTTGGATGAAAAACCTTTAAAATGTTTTCTCAGCAATTTTTTTAATCTTTTCAACATCAACAATGGCATAGTAAAATGGAATTTTCATGTATACATTGCACATTAAGTGGGCAATTACGAACTTGATTAACAAAATCAAAAATGCATGGACATAAAATTCCCCTTTAAAAACTACCAAAAACTTCTGTCATGGTGGCATTTTAATAGAAATTTAGATAGAATCATTTTTCAATGTTTTTAAAAAGTAACCTCTCAATCAGGAAAGTGACTTTGGCAAAAAATTTCGAAGAGACATTTTGCAAATTACGAGGTCATTTCTAGCCTGAGAGTTGGATTGTCTTGAACCCTGTGTTAAGCAACCTCCATGAAGTCCAACAAAAATATCTTTAAAAAATCATTATATCATAGTCATACAAGGTTGAACAGTTTGAGCACATATTACCGCTATTTAAAATTGCTTCTAAATAATAAGCCTATTGATTTACATTTTAACTTGCAATTCTTGACTTTTTCCTCATATTTTTAATTCATAAATCCATGATTATATGACTTTGTCAACAAGGCTTAGCCTGGTATATGAACTAGCTGCAAGCACTTCTGAAAATAAATTGTTACTACTCAACCTTATTATGTTTCTCAATTTCTTTCAACAAGTGACAAGCATTTTTCATAATTCAGAAATCCATGATTAAGGTATAACCTTCATCTCATTATAACCAACCATTCTTATTATGTTTCTCAATTTCTTTCAACAAGTGACAAGCATTTTTCATAATTCAGAAATCCATGATTAAGGTATAACTTTCAACTTATCATAACCGACCCCTCAAATTACTAAAGACAGTGGATGATTCCTATACAAATTGTTCAAAGAAAGCCAGTTTGACCCTCTCTATATGGTGACACAGTTTGATTGCAGGTCCCAGTTTTAGTTCCATGTGTTCCTGGAGTGTTGGCAGGCTCAGCAACAGCAGTGCTTGACCATCTATGTCCTACAGAGAGAAAGAAAGAGAGAAAACAATCAAGGACCATATAATAATTATAGTAATTTAAATTTAAAACTACGTGATCTGAATGGACAGCAATGGCAAAGCCAGAGGGGGTATGAAGAATCACGTCCCACACCAGCTTTCTTACCCCCAACCCCTCAAAAATGTACAAACTGAGACAAAACCACTTTAATGACAAACAATTTTTCTCCATCACTGAGCCCATATATTTCACATACAACATTAAAATTGTTTTTATGTACTGATTTATATCTGCCTTGCTTTATTGGGCTTTTTCATCTTTGTGCTCTTTCCTTATCCAAGTCCTGAGCCTGGCAACCCATTCCTCTCACAAGAAAAAATATTTTTCCCAGCTAGGCCAACACATGGTTCCCTTCAAAGCAAAATTATTCAAACTGATCCCTGTACTTTCTTGATACCCAGGTATCTGATACGTACTTGTTCTTTGAAAGCCCTGGCAAGGTGTGCACAGTCTGTGGTTTTAATGAACTGTATGACATTGGCCACACTCCAGTGGAGAGGGTTAGATTCCAGGTATAGTCTCTCAGAGGGCTTGATAGACTGAAATAGATGATGACAAATAGAAATCTTTGTGTAATATTCTATGTACAATCAGCATATTCTTAAAGATACACGTTTCATCTATTCTTTCACCATTTTTCAAGAAATTATTACATATTTTAGCAACTGAAAGGGTTCAAGACAAATAATTTTCTTGGCAGTCTTTCCAAAGCATCTTTCTGTATCGTTATTATTTTTGAAAAAAAAGTTTATCTCTTTTTACCCGAGCCAGACAGAAGGTAAACAACATCCCTACTTACATAGTAGGGTTTCTCCTTCTGAGATGGAAGTGTGGATGCCACCATTTCTGTTTCCAGATCTTTCTTCGACTTCCTTCCTCGTTTCTTCCTCACCTCCTCTTGTGGGACTTCTTCTTCTACGTCCTCATCTCCATCAAACATCTCCGACCACAATATTTTCTTATGAGTCCTCTTTTCAAAAGTATATTTTGGCAGTTTCACGCCTCTGGTGCGAATGTCTGTAGGTGGTGCCACATAATGTGTATATTTGCGTTTTTGACGCAAAGGTTTAAAATCGGGATCCCTGGAAATTTGCCTCGAGGTTTGTCTAGAGTACACCTGTCTCTCTCGTTCAACACTGTCTTCTGATTCTTTGCTAACTACGCTTTGATTATCTGCTTCAAATACCTCCTCCTCTTCCCCTTCTCCGTTCATGTCTAAATCATCCCCGTTTTCTGAAATTACAGATTTCTTCTTGGCCATCAGGTTCACCTTCTTCCTCTTGCGACGTTTCCCAGGTTTTTTGGGCCCATTTTCCAGATTTGTGTGTCCCCCTGGTGGCCGTCCTATCTTCCTTTTCTTCTTCTTGCCATAATAATATGCTGTGTAGAAAGAGATTTAAATTGATAAATTATTAAACAAGATGTTTATTTACTGAAAGTTTTAAAGTATTTTTGCAACTGAAACTGTGCAAGGTTTTGTTGCTGAATCATTCATAATATATTGGGAGATGACATGTTTTTATCTATGCTGTAGCATATTGTAATGTTCATATAATATGTTTTTATGATGATCATATCTTTTGATAAATTATATATAAATTCAATAATGTAATAGCACAAACTCTGGTAGTTGTTTTTCAATAGGAGGTTGAGTTTAATTTGAACATTTTTTTAGAAGTGAAAAATACTGCACAAAGGTTTTTTTCATTCTTACTGTATTTGGTCTTGGTGAGCTGAGAGCAGTGTTCTGGGCAGTTCTCGTCTACATAGTGGGGGCTGAAGAGGTTTGGGCAGCACTCCAGCTTGATACACACTTGGCGACAGAATTCCTCAATTTGTTCTGTAGTCTTACAAATCTCTACCACTGCACGGTAACTCTTGCCTTTGTATCTGCAGGGTAAAGTTTATCAAGTGTCATAATAACTGTAATTTTTTAAAATTTCAAACAACTGACTAAAACAATATTACAAATATTACAAA